TTTTTTTTCCGGATCAAGTTCGAAATGGCTGACTGGCGGCCATTTTGTTAAAGAATTCAGTTCTGGATCCGTATCCAAGACATGTCTGGATTGATCAAGTTCAAACTTCACACACACATGGTACATCATGTCACAAATAGATATGTGCATTTGTTTCATGATCTGCTTAACAATAGCGGAATGATGGCCATTTTAAGGCCGAAAATGCATCAAAATCACGTATTTTCACAATTCCAGAACCGGATCTCAGTCATGCATGGATGGATTTTTTTTAGATTTAGCACAATGTGTTGTACATATGCAGGTGCATTTCGGTCATGATCTGCTTTGAATGTATATGTCACTCAAATATGAACGGAACGGGGACGTGTCATTGACAATGACTTGTTTTTATAAAGATTACTGTATGTGTGGTGTGTTCCCATTTTAACCTTTTCACCACTAGTTCCCTCTTTTCATGACAAATTCACAAAATAGTCCCGTTTATAGTCTGCACTTTCCTTCAGACGATACAAAAATAACCGCATTTTTTATTATAAAGTAAAAACTTGAATTTAGTCTGTTGGTTCCAAAATAAGGATTTTTTTCCATAAATATTGAAGAATACAAGAAAAAAGTGCAGAAAAATGTAGGTTGGTGGTGAAAAGATTAATGCTCTAGAATTGGCTAGCAATTTGGAAAATAATCACAGGTGATATACTTAGAAGCCAGGTAGACAGACGAGAGGTTTGGTGATATATATATAAAGCCAAGAAACTTAGAACGCATGCGTGTCTAAAAATAATATGTACATCTCTCCAGCTTGAAGACCGTCCACGCCAAGCTGTTAATTCTCTGAGCCAAGCTGCCAAACTGTTGGTGAGAATCAAGGAATTTGACAAAGCAGTTGCTGTGCTGAAACGAGAACGAGAGATTTATGCGGAATTAGAAAATCTACCGTCAATCTATAGGAATATTGTCGCAACATCACTAGTACATCTACAAAGAGGAGATTTTGTAGCTGCAGATCAAACACTTAAACACGGTCTCAGGTATAGTATGTTGAATTTATTCAATGTATGCGTTTTTAGCGTCACATGGCATTTATATCTAACATGTGTTATCCACACTTTTATGGTGGATTGATTTACCGGTAGTTAAAAACTTCGCTATCATGTTTGAAACTTTTCTGTTGAAACCAGTTATTATCACTACTCAAGTTGAGCAAACAGATCATTAATGAGTTAATTAAGGAGAATGTTTTCTGATGATTTCATCTTGGGATATTGATCATTGTATCAGTCAGTTTTACAGTCAGTTTCATGTAATAGTTGATGTGGTCATTTACGTTCCAACTTTTAAAGTTATACTTTGAAACAACATCTAAAATGTAATTTTCATATGCCGAGATCTGATTTTTCGTCTTGATTATCAGCATCATTCTTTTCAGTGAACCATTTTACTAGTTACACTGAAACGAAGACCTTTCTTTCGTCATTATAAATCCACCCTGTTGAATGAATGAATGAATGAACGAACGAACACCTGAAGAATTTGGAAAAGTGCCAACTTTCTTTATTGGGATGAATCCAATCACTACCGTCCGTCCGTAATGTAAGAACTGAGTTGATTCTCCACCAATGAATGTCTAGCAGGGTAACCAGACATGAGTCATATATTTGAACCTAATTTGAAAAGAGTTCAAGTTGTTCAAGTCTGACCTACATATGAGTAAATCTATGTAGTTCATCCTCCCTAGGGAATCCTGCTCACAAAGACATCCTTTGAATTTGCGAAATGTAGTGAATTCAAATGGAGTACTGTCTGGTAGATGTATGTACGGTTTTAATGGAAGTACATTGTATCACTGCTCATGAATATTACCCACCCTAAAGCTTACGTTTGACTAATAATGGCTTTGAGGAAGCTTATACTAGTATGAAGATGGAACCCATGTTGTAGTTCAATTAAAAACATCAGACATTTTTTTTTTTTGCCACCTTTTGAACTCAATATAATGAAACAAAGTGGGACGGGGTACGCACCTATTTGTAAAGATATGGCAGTTTGCCTTTTTTGCGTTTAGAACTCACTCACTCAACTGAAACTATTTTGGTTAGCCTGGAATTTGCTGTACATGCCTGCAATTAAGACTCTTAAGACTGTCAACATGCTATACAACTATTGTTTTTCTAGTATCAACATTGTTGTGTAGCAAGGAAGAAGGTTTAAGCTATATTATGGATTTAAAGATTGTTAGTCCCTGTTTGGATGCAGTCTGAAAAAAAAGAACTTAAAGATTGACCTCTGTCCGTGTGTGCGCGCGTGCGTGCATGCATGCATGCATGCGTGCATGTGTGCGTGTGTGTGTGTGCGTGCACATGCTCGCTCGCTCGAATCTATCATGGACATTCCTGGACCGATCACATTCAAACTTCATACATACATCATACATTTTGAATAAATATTTACATTCATTTGTTTCATGATCTAAGTTGGCCAAATGGGGGCCATTTTTAAGCTTGAAATTCATGAAAATCAAGCATTACTGCAATTCCGGAACTGGATATAGGTCGTGTATGAATGTACTTTGTACATACATTGGAGACAATGAGATCTTGATGCCTGTCATTTTGTTTTTCAGATCAAATTCAGAATGGTTGACTGGCGGCCATTTCGGAGGCATATTTCTGACACGCCGTGACCAATCATATTCAAACTTTAGAAATACATCATACATTATGGTTGCACATGTGCACATATATAGGTTTAATGATTCAAGACAACTAAATGGCAGCCATTTTAATGTTACAAAAATAAGACATTTTTACCATTTTGAAACCAATATGCATCCAAATCAAGCATTTGTTCCATCCAAGACCCAGATTTTGGTTATGGACAGTTAATTTCCATTTTGGTACAGACATGAAACATATACATAACGTAACAATAACAATTTTTTCATTCAGATAAGATTAAAAATACCTGAATACAAATGCTCTTTTCGAGCCATATCTCCGACATACATATGTACATTGACTGATACCAATCACTTTGCTGTACATGTATGTTTCGATCAAAATTGTAGAAAAAATAGCAATGATGCAGGTTTGGTTTTTAAAAACAAGTGTTGATGCTAGTGGGTGAATGCCACAACTCTTAAAAAAAAATGTATTCATACGTGTGACCTTAAATGTCTTCGAGGACGAATAGAATTTCTAACGCATTTGTTGCATGAAATGAAAATACATCACTAATTACGATATCAGTTATTTGTAATTGTTGCTCTTTGTGACATCCCAGCATGTCGCTACACTTTGCGACCTTGCCCGTTATATAATCCTCGCTACTTAATATTTGTCACGATTACAAGATATTACTAAAAATAGAAATGTTCAGTGTATGAAACAGATGCTTAACATGCATAAACCCCAGCTGCGTTACATCACTTTGGCTTTTTAGTGATTTGCTTTGCATCGCAAGGAGATTTAAGGTCTGAACCAACCTTTGCAAAATTACTTCATATTGTTTGTAGTAATCATGTGTTCTAATCAGAGTGTCGTTTGTTAATTGCTTTATATCTTGTGTGGACATTGAATTGAACTTATCTCATTATCTCTGTTGCTCATGCTTGTAAAATGTTAACTATTTGAAGAGTTTTGAAGAGCTAATCTATGTGTATAGACATTTTTAGGTCTGCTTTGTGACAAAGTCAAGCAGAGCTGGTCATATTACGGATTGTCTGTCATAACCCGTTGACATCCACTTTACATTTTTGACTTCTTTTTAAAAACTATTACTAAGAAGTTACCTTGGGTGGTTCTTTGAATTTTTTCATTTCATAACGGTATCATCAATTCCCTAATTTTAGCTGTTTTTGTCATCTGCTTGACAACAGCCAGTTTGATTGGTTGGATATATATCATATGTAGGTACCTTGGAGGATCTTTGATTCAGATTGATTTGATTCACTCTTTTATGAGATTAATTTCTTCAGTGTTGATACCTTCAGTGTATATTCTTGTATCTTTAGCCTGATTGCTTTGTTTACCTCTCACATTTTGCTTATTATGGGTTTCAATTTTGCTTATTTCGCTGACTGGAAAATGCGCTAAATTAAAACCCATTGAATATGTAAAATTTAGCATAGAACACATCATCTATATGATTAACCTATGAATTTAAAACCCACTGTGAATATGCCTGAAATGGTAAATCAACGAAATTTAAACCTAATTAAACGAAATTTAAACCTAATTAAATTAGTATTTTTACAGTATAATAGTTACATGTGTCTACTAATGTTAATTGTAATATTTCTACGTCCATATTTTTTCTGGGTTTACCGTAATTAACAATGTGGGAGAAGCATATCAAAGTTTTGTGAATTAGTAATTCATTGTGAAAGGTTACCTGTTTTAAAGCAGGGCAGACAGACGACCATGGCCTGTTGTTGTTTACAAATAAGCATTTACCCATGTGACTTTGTGTGTTAGCATGCTTTGTTATCGTTGTTTAGAGCTCAATTTTGGAGTGTGCGAAAGTGATGACTCTTTGCTTTAATAAATATATATATATATCTTGAATCATTGAAGTTCTTTTCTCAACTTTCAATTTCACTATACATTGTAAAGTTAGACTGCCATCAACAACATGCCCTTGAAATTATTTTGTTTTTTTACATGGATATTGTATTTATTCCAGGAAGATATTTCAGGAGATGGACTGGTAAATGTTATGACATTTTCCACTAAACCACGTCTTTTTGCTACAGCAAACCATCCTCTATCTCCATTAACACATTTCATATATATATATTTGCATTGGTGTAAAAAATGCTAAAACCTAATTACTTGTGGACCTCATGTTGTATATGATATAAACCTCCTTTCCAAACCCTGACTTTTAACCCTTGAATTGGTGTACTCCTGATTATCACACCAGTATTTTATTATATCGGAATTCACCTTTTGAAATAGTATAATTTATGATCTGAAATGTAAATGCACTGTCTGAACTTCTGATGAACCCGATTTTGATTGTACCTGTGTCTCTCACATAAATATTTTAAGTGCTTTGTTTACCAGTTTGCACATGTAGCTAAGATGTCGACTATAATCACCCAAATGGCCACCTGTAGACTGTACCTATACGAATCTGTTGTGAGAAGAAGAGAACGCCTGGTTAATATATCTGCTGTTACTGTTACTGATTAATTATTGTCACTTGTACTATTCTTTCTTGATTCTTACCAGATTCTCATGTACCTTAGAACTAAATACATGTTCCTATATTGAGTAACATTTTGTAAAAATTGCTTGTAATGAACATTTCACTCAGGAAGATGGAGCCTTGAACTTGAAATTATGTCTATGCTGATGATGCATTAATTGTTAATTAGGATCCATGTCCGTTCGGACCCTATTGTTTTTGTTTCTTCTTCTGCCATTTCATTGTTGCCCTAGAACTTGAACACGATTGCCTGTAGATTCTTGATTCTTGAGTCACATTGGGGACTATGAGAACTAGTGAACCTAACTTTCAGGATTTTGATTGGTCAACTTGAGCTACAAAAAAATGAAAATAGTTTTATCCAGTCACATGGTTCTGTCTCCATCTTTGATTTTCTCCAAAAATTACATAAATTTCGGGTGTCTGTATCTCATGAGTGCTTTACCTAATCAACTTCATATTTTGCATGTAGCATGTATGGCCAAAGCTATTTATGAAAAATAAGATCGTTGATCAGTCACATAGTTTGACCGCTGTAATCCCATTTTTGAATCAACTGATCAACTTGCTATTTTACATGTAGTGTGTGTGACCAAAGCACCTCCTCATGAAAATAATATATATATCAATGGGTACATATAAAGACATATTCAGCCTTCACATTGAACTTCACAATTCCGTAGCTTTAATTTATCTTTAGTTTGATTGTGCTGTAATTGTTTTGGGGGAATGAATACCTTAGCATTTTTAGTACTATATATAAACTATTAAATGTCATTGATGTGTGACCATGTATATTTTGTTGGCTTCTTGTCTTTGTCCTTGTACTAAGTCAAAGTATTGATGACCTTCATTGACATTGAACTTTATCTGGGTGGAGTTCATCATTAACCCAGACACTAGGGTGTAGCAGTCTGTCGGCATACATGCAAGTAAAGATATGACTGGCTTTGTCACACATGGTAGACAAAAGAAGTATCAACTAGTGTACATGGAAATTAACTTTTTATTCCCCGTTCGGACGCAGTCAGAAAACGGGGACTTATGTTTTGACCTCCGTGTGTCCGTCCGTGTGTCTGTGCGTGCGTCCGAACCTGTATCTTAGAATTGCCTGGACCAATCACAATCAAACTTCACACATACATCATACATGATAGTATACATATGCACGTCAATTTGTTTCACGATCTGATTCAAGATGACCGAATAGCGGCT